GGCACCCTTACTCTTCAAGATGGCAACATGAACTCAGAAAACAAATAGATTGGAGTGTTAAGGGACACTTGTAAATACATTTTAAATTTAATTTAAAATCAGAAATATTGCCGGGTGTGGTGGCTCACACCTGAAATCTCAGTGCTTCGGGAGGCCGAGTTGGGCAGACTGACCCCTGCAGTTCAAGACCAGCCTGAGCAACATGGCAAAACTTCATCTCTACAAAGAATACAAAAAAAATTAGCTGGGCATAGTGGCACACAACTGTAGTCCCAGCTACTTGGAAGGCTGAGGTTTGAGGATCACCTGAGGCTAAGACGTGGAGGGTGCAGTGAGCCTTGATCGTGTCACTGCACTGCAGCCTTGGCAACAGAGTGAGATCCTGTCTAAAAATAAATAAATAAATAAATAAATCTGAAGCACCAAATACAATTTCTCCAGCTCCTTGCTCATTTAGCCATATGCAGGACTTTTGCTCTGGTTCCTGATTATTTTCATCTATATTATATATTTGCATTTGGCTCTTAATAATTTTTTAAACTTTCTTTTGCATGAAAATTTGCTCTTTGTTTTAAAAACTATCTTCTTCAGTTATTACCTCCAACATTCAAAAGTCACCTAGTTCTTATCCTAAAGCTGCTAATAGTATGAATTTTTCTAAACGTGTTTGGTCAGATTTCTAAATATATCTTGTTACCACCAATACAAGATGCTTTATTTACAGCGATTTCTTATACCAATTGCTGTTACCATAGAGAATCAAGAACTCAAACTGCAAGTGTCTTCTGATTTTTTTTGTATTTAATTTTGAAATATCAATTTTATTAAAAAGTTAAAGTTGACTTTTCTCCTACTTACTCTCTTAAAAGGATCACTGTTTATAAGCGATTTATTATAAGAAAACTAAAGTTAATTTTGTTTATCGCTGGGTTTGTGAATTTCTAAAGAGGGATTCAAGTCAAGACACATGGACATTAGTTAAAATCAACAACAAAACCAAAACATATGGAAGTTAATAATGAGCACAATAATTACTAACAGACATGACTTTTACTTATGCAAATGACTCTTATTTTTACAAATGATTTTAAGCAAAACAAAAAGCATTCAGAAAAGTCTGCAGTAGATATACAGGAATGTTAAGAAGTGAAGGGGTGGCCTGCCCCTGCACACCTGCGGGCGTTTCTCCTTAGGTGGAATGAGAGACTTGAGAAAGGAAATGAGACACAGAGACAAAGTATAGAGAAAGAAAAAGTGGGACCAGGGGACCGGCGCTCAGCATACAGAGGACCCGCCCCGGGCACTGGTCTCTGAGTTCCCTCAGTATTTATTGATCATTATCTTTACCATCTTGTAAAAAGGGAAGTGGCAGGATAATAGGATCATTGTAGGGAGAAGCTCAGCAGTAAGACATATGAATAAAGATCTCTGTGACATGAATAAGTTTAAGGAAAAGTGCTGTGCCTTGATATGCATATGTAAACGTCTCCATAAACCTTTTTAGTGCATAAAGAGCAGCATTGCGGCTAGCACGTCCCACCTTCAGGCCTAAGGCAGTTTTCTCCTTTCTCAGTAAACAGAACACACAATTGGGTTTTACACCGAGATGTTCCATTGCCCAGGGACGGGCAGGAGACAGATGGTTTTCTCTATCTCAACTGCCAAGAGGCCTTTTTCCTCTTATACTAGTCCTCCTCAGCACAGACCCTTCATGGGTGTCAGGCTGGGGGATGATCAGGTCTTTCCCTTCCCACAAGGCCATATTTCAGACTATCACATGGGGAGAAACCTTGGACAATACCTAGGTTTCCTAGGCAGAGGTCTCTGCGACCTTTGGCAGTGTACGTGTCCCTGGGTACTTGAGATTAAGAGAATGGTGATGACTTTTAACAAACATGCTGCCTTCAGGCACTTGTTTAACAAAGCACACCCTGCACAGCCCAAAATCCGTTAAATCTTGAGTCACTACAGCGCATGTCTCTTGCCAGGACAGGGTTGGGGGTAGGGTCACAGATTAACAGCATCTCAAATACAGAACAAAATGCAGTCTCTTATGTCTATGTCTTTCTATATAGACACAGTAACAGTCTGATCTCTCTTTCTTTTCCCCACAAAGAAGTAAAAATTTTATCTATGTAAAATCCAATGTACCACACTGCCTGTAGGAGACTATAATAATACTTGAGGGATAAAACTATATTCCAGGAAACAGTCATAAATCTTTCCTCCACTTTTGTTCTCAAGGGTTGCTGTTCAATTTTATGTATAATTGAAGTAACTACTTAGTTGCTATTTCTGGAGCAAATTTTCAGAGCCTCACTTTGAGAGGGAGTCTCCCTCTGTCTCCCAGGCTGGAGTGCAGTGGCGCGATCTCGGCTCATTGCAAGCTCCGCCTCCCGGGTTCACCCCATTCTCCTCCCTCAGCCTCCTGAGTAGCTGGGACTACAGGCACCCGCCATCACGCCCAGCTAATTTTTTTTTTTTTTTTGTACTTTTAGTAGAGACGGGGTTTCACCGTGTTAGCCAGGATGTCTGGATCTCCTGACCTCCTGATTCGCCCACTTCGGCCTCTCAAAGTGCTGGGATTACAGGCGTGTGCCACCGCGCCTGGCCTATGGGACATTTTTATTTCAGCTTACTTTAGCCAAGTGGTCTCATCACACCTTTGTTTATGACAAACATAAATTCTTTCACGGTCATATTAAGCCATGCTTTTATATTAGTAGTCACCAAACTTTTTGTTTGTTTGCCCTTATCAATGAAATATTTTGAGAAATGCTTCCAAAATGAATGTATATTTTATCACACATAAAAATCACAATTAACATTAATAAAATATAATATGAATACACATTTAACATTTTTTCCCCGATAGTTCCAGGAACAAGTACACCCCATCCTGAAGATAATTTATCAACCCCATCTCTTTAAAAGACTGCATACTTCCTGTCATTACCTATTACTCCAGAGGTTCTTTTCTTCCATTATGACTAAGAGGTACCAATCTCTTATTTCTTTTTCTTTTTCTTTTTTTTCCAAACCATCCTGTTTACTAAGCTAAATCTGGTCATCAAAAAGCTTTCTTTCCTTTTTAAAAATGGCTATTTCACCATTTATGCTTTTAACACTGCTAGCCTTTAATTCACATAGAATTTACTCTCCTTCTAGCTGCAAGTCCATTATTTCTAAAGGTTAAATTGTTATGGCTGGGACAAACAAAAGCATATATACACTCATTTAATTAATCTAGCTTATTTTAAAGAACAAACGAATGGCTGGGTGCAGTGGCTCACGTGTATAATCTCAGCACTTTGGGAGGCTGAGGTGTTTGGATCATGAGGTCAGGAGTTCGAGACCAGCCTGACCAACATAGTGAAACCCCATTTCTACTAAAAATACAAAAATTAGCCGGGCATGGTGGTGGGTGCCTGTAATCCCAGCTACTAGGGAGGCTGAGGCAGGAGTATCCCTTGAACCCAGCAGGAGGAGGCTGGAGTGAGCCAAGATCGTACCACTGCACTCCAGCCAGGGCAACAGAGCAAGACTCCGTCTCAAAAAAAAAAAAAAAAAAAAAAAAAAGAAGTTTATACTGACAAGATTTGTTGAGTGGTTTGAAACTGTGTATTTGTCTGTATGCATAATGTATACGTAAACATCATCTTTTTATAAATTCCTTTATAGGACTTATCATTACTGATCTTAGTCGTATATCTTTTTATAAATCTATTTATATTTATTTATTTTATTGATCCATAATAGATGTACATACTTTGGAGTACTTGTGATAATTTGATACACTTATATAATGTGTAAAGATCAAATCAGGTTATTTGGAATATCTACCACATTAACTATTTATCTTTACTTTTTGCTAGGAACATTTAAATTATTGTCTTCTAGCTATTGTGAAATGTACATTAGATTAATGTTAACTATAATCAATCTACTGATCTATCACACACTAGGTCATATTTCCTCTATCTAACAGAAAATTTGTACTCATTAATCAACCCTCTTCATTATTCCCTCCCCTCTACCCTTGCTTATTTAAGAGTAGGAAGATTTAGCTAAGTTATATTAGTATGTCCAATACTAGTAATACCAATATTACATTACTGGAATAAACTTCTAGGAAAAAAGTAGCCTTATAAATGTCAGAGAAAAAGAGAGATGGGACTATTTTAATGGCTGACACAGGTTAAATTTGCTTATCTCTATATATCTATATATAGGTAAAATGTTATTTGATCTATGTAAAATCAATCAAATGTACCACACTGCCTATAGGAGACTATAATAATACTTGAGGGATAAAACTAGGTATTGTATATATATTTTATACATATATATATAGAGAGAGAAATATGTATAGACAGATAAATGTATATATAAACAAATTTATTTACTCTCTATATATGCCTAATTATCCAAGATAATTTGTGAACTAAAACCCAAGAGAAGTAGAATCTTCCAAAGAGAAAATAACTTTATAAATCTTGAAAAGATGATTGAAAATACTTTTTTTGGAGTTGCGAAGAGTAGCAGAAGTGGATTCAGTGCTGTCACTAAACATGAGTACAGTGCTTTTAGAAGATAAGAATAGGCAGGACCTGAGCAGAAGTATATCTCTCTAAGGAGTTCACTTTTATTTGTAGCATTTTCTAAGTTTAACAGTTATTTGATATGTGTTCCAATTTTGGAGCTGTGTTTTCCTTCTTGAAAGGACTGACGCTCTGCCTGCAGTCTTTCTAAATCTTCATCTCACTAGCTCGCATGTCACTAGCTCTTGATAATTTTCCTTTTGTCTAGTAGTGACACATATAAATAACCAAAAAGCAGAAGGCAAGACTCTGGTAACTAATTTCAACAAGCCTTGTTCAATGGTATAGACAGCATGTAATTTATTTTTAGTGACAGTATTAATAAAAGTGACGTGAAACACAAGGGATGTAATGTCAGTGATATTGCACCTCAAAAGAGGAGAAAGTGTGGCATGTTACCTCCTGATTAGCAGCAGCTAGTTCTTCTTCCAGTGCAGAGACTCTTTCTAAAGAAACCCTCAGTCGCTCCCTTACCTAGAAGAAAAATCAAAATATGTGCAGTAATGTACATCCCATACATATTAAACTGTGCCGAATCCATCATTAACATCATCAGAGACAGTCAATTTGGCAAATTATTAAAGAAGTATTTATATCCCTATGTGCTCCGAATACTACACTAGGCAAAAATACAATGAATGCATTGCCACCTCGTATTGTCACTGTATCAAGGGATTTCCTTGTAAGCAAATCCTTTTGGTAGTTCCCTCATAGAGCTTCAGGTGGGGCTGGAGATTGACTTGTCTTGCTCTGAATTCTGATTCATAGTAAGCGAATACGAAGTTTAAAAGTATATTATGAATTCATCTGAAAAATAGTCACTGACTAAGTGTGACAAATAGGAAAAAAAAAATACCCCACCTTTTTCTCTACTTCTGTAAAATAATAAGTAAATTTTCATTTGGTAAATAGTATCTAACTTCAAAAATAATTTGCCTGAAGGAAAGGCCTTTTAAAACCTGAAAAGTGTTCTTTGCTTCTATGTTTTGTATGAATTAGAGGTCTATTTTGTTTTTGGGGAACTGTAAAGCATTTAAGTATTTTGGAATTTCCAACTAACTTTCAGATACCAAAGGTTAAACCATTGTATTTTATAGAACCAAAATCTCTGTATATTTTAGTTTGAAAGTCATAATTTATACTTGCTTCTTACATAACTGAAACTCAAAGAAGTATTTCTTTGATCCTTGCTTTCTTAGAACTTCTAAAATTGTTTTAGTTGTTATATGTTTAGATCTATAGATACGTCTTGATATATATATTAAATAAATGTATTATATATATAACAATTCATAGAAATAAATATTGCTGAATTAAAATGAATGACCACAGCAGTTTAATTTTACCTAAAAAATCAAAAAAAACTTTATAGCTTTAACTTAAGATGCAATTCATGGTGGGTTTTCCATTATTTATAAATTAACAAAGATTTTTCATGGGAATGCCATAGTATTTGTGCAGTTAAGATGTATTTCAATATATAATTATATTCCTATGAGCTTTCATTTTGTTAACTTACTGACAGTATATTTTAATAAATGGTATTTTTCTCCTCTAATAAGATTTAACTGGGAATAGAGATTAAATTTATAAAATATGTAAAAACCCAGATACATAAACAAATTTAAGTTGGAATTATAATATTATTTTTCCAGTTAGCAAACAAACAAAAAGTCAGTAATGACTTATTATCCTAGAATCTAATTAAGAATTTTAAAAAATCTAAATCACATTTTAGTATTGTATTATCATACCACATATATTCAGATGAATGGATACATTTAATTCCTGAAACAGACCATGAATCAGCAATAAAAATATCCAAGTAGGGGTTTTAATATTAATTATATTTTATTATGCTCAAATTCTCTAAAAACAGTAATACACACATAAATGGAGACTTGATGCCTAAAACAGTTGCACAGGCTCTTTCATCATATTGAGCTAGAGATTAACTGCCAAGTATCATTCCTGTTAGACAAATATCCAATTGTTAGCAAATACATAGAATTAATGCTGATTAATAACCAAACACTAGTTACATAGCAGGAAATATTTGATGATTTGATTTGGAGAATGCTTTTTTATGAATTTTGAATACATGAAAAAGCAGCAAATACCCTGAAGCCATGAAAATGAGCAGGACAGCTGATGTGTGGAATGCATATATCAGAAAACGTTTCAACAGACGTGTGATGTTTACCAGGGATTCCCATATTCTAAAATACCAACTGTAAAATACTGGTGTTCTGAAAAGGCCTAGTAAACCTGGTTAATGAGAACAGCAATAAGAAGTAATCTAAATATGGTAATAATCTCACCATACACAAGCTTGATCATATCACACTTAAACTGCTGTAGAGAGAGGAAGTTACCATATTTTAAAATATTGACACATTAAAATCTCTCTAAGTCATTTACATCATGTAAGAAATGGTTGAATCTAGCTTATGTGGTAGGTTAAAATATCTTTCTGACTTTCTTTTGCTAAACTTAAACTCTTAGAACTATTCCAAACTGTTTTCTATTTACTACAATTTAAGCGTTTATATTTTCATTATAGTGAGTTTTTAAGGAATAAAAATTATCATATTTACCCAATAATATGAAAATAAAATAATAATTTCTCATATATTTAGAATAGTGGTTTACAAATTGAGATTATGTTGTCCACGAAGTAATAAATCTAAAACTATTTTACAAGAAAATAAAAAAAAATTCTGAATATATTTTGAGTTATGTTATAAATTTAAAAATTGCTGCTGTGAATATCAATAATGCAAACTGAAATTAATGTATGGCCGGGTTGCATTTGGGGAATTATCACTCCTACAACAGAAAATATTTTTGAGGAAATCTCCTCAGACCAGAAGCTCTAATTCATTTTTGACACAGAGATATTTGATAATGAAAATATATAAGGATGGTATATATATTTAATTTGTTTTGGTTTACATTTCCTATACATGTCTGATACGGTTTTTTTTTAATAGTCAATGATTTCTGAGTAATTGAAAAACACAACTATATTTTCTCACAACTATAGTTCTCATTCTACAATTTAGTGGCTATATAAATAATTAGACATTAATAATGAAAATTATGAATCACTGCAACTATCTATAGCTATGCTCAATTTTTGTAGAGTTTATTTAGTTCTGCATATGTACTAATCCTTCTATGATAAAGTTGTTTGTTTCTTGTTCCCAAGGTATGGTTAATTGCATCTTTTTCTGACTTTCTATATATATAGTATTACTTGTTTACATACCTATATCCGCATCCCTCCTCATCCCTGTGAGAAGCTGTGAGTTACTCTTAGGGAAATTGTCTGGGAAGGCACTTAGACACATATGAGTTCCTTGATAACTAAATGAAATGCTATTTTAAACAAGCATCTGGATCAAGAATAATACCAACATTTTTACTTGGTTTGAAAGTTTTATCAAATGCTGATATTTACTCCTGTTAATAACAATATTCATAAATGTCCACTGAGGACTTGCCATATGCTAAGCACTAGCTGAAAGCTTTGCATATCAGATCATATCTAATCCTCATGACAACTCTGAGGTCAGTACTAGTATTATCTTAATTCAAGATAAGAGGTAATTGATGCTTTGAGAATGAATGGTCAAGTCACTTGTCCAGATCTGTCTGACTCTAACCCTAACCCTAACCCTAACCCTAACCCTAACCCTAACCCCCTAACTCATAACATGTCTTCTTTAGGCCGCTGAGCATTACTTGTTGATAATCAGTCCAGTTGTCCCTGAACTCACCAATGTTCAGGATACCTCTGGTGAGTTAATACATATTATTACAGCTCCTATGGCCATATAATAGAACAACTCATTTAGTTGCGCTAAGCCCACTGAACTTCTATAAAGTAAATTATTTCTAGATTAAGTTGTACAACGGCCATTTTCTTCTTAAATGTACTCACATGACCAGGTTATTTGTCTTAAACGCTGTTTATTACCTCTATTCTGATAAATAATCATTCTTTTGTAGGAGCATCCCTCACTTAAGTGATATGGGAATGCTTATAGGAAACATCTCAAATCATACATTCTCTAGTACCTTCATTTAAGTCATTTAAAACTCTTGAATTTTCTCTGAACAGGTCCTTCTCTTCTTACAGTTTTGGGTTATTTTCTGTGTGGGTCCTGCTGCTTAGAGCGTATTTCTGTGCTTAAAAAACCCTTAATCATTCTTTAATACCTAGATCAAATGCCACCCTTTCTTGAAGACATTCTTGTCTTTGTCATTACTCACACAGTCATAACCTTTTCTGTGACTACATATTGTGATAGAAATACGTCTTTTTTGAATTGTTTTTCATTGATATGTGAATTCCTAGCACTAACACTGAACTTCTCAGTCATAATGAGAATATCTTATTTATCTCTGTGTGTCAAACATCTGCCATGGCGTCTGACACATACTAAAAATTCTATACATATAAACACTTGCAAATTCTTAGCACTTTTATAAAAAAGAGGAAATATAATATGAAACTAAATGTTGAATATTAAATAATTATTTGATGTCATATTTAGCAAGAATTTTTATATAATATTCATTTGTTTTATTCAAAATAATTCTTATACTAGTCATCTCTCATTGCTAAAATAAAAATGAGATACAATTTCTTCTTAATACTCTAGAAGGCAGAATTATAATTATCCTTACATACACATTCCACATAATCCCCTGTTCTCAGAACATCTGAAATACCAATGATAAAAATATAAATGTATATAAATATTAAATAGAACAAAAATGTCTGCATGCTTAAAAACTATATATAACTCAGAAATAATCCCTAGTTTGGATTTTAATGCTCAGAACTTGTCAGATACTTTACAATGAAGTGTCCCAATTTCTACTCTAACTCCTAAAGCTTTATTGATTTTTGTAAGTTCAGTCTTTGAAATTTCACAAAATTGAAATCATGTCATAAGCCATCCTAATCTCCAAAGAATATTATCATCCTATTGGTTTATATATGTCAGTAGAACTTATTTGAGTAACAGCTAAGAGAAGCTTATAGCTACTTTTAAAAATATCTAAACACAAATTTTTCTACTAATACCTTATGATGTTACTTGCAGAGGCTCTTCAAATGAATATTTAAAACTAAGATATTAGAGACATTAGAAAATCAGATGCTTCTAAAATAAATGTCTAAAAGTTAAAGTACATCCAATTTGCACTTCAAAATAGATATAATTTTCAGTTAGTGGTCTCTTATTTTGGAATCTATAGAGAAAGACCAGGGTTTGAGAGAGAGAGAGACAGAGAGAGAGAGAGAGACAGAGAGAGAGAGAGAGAGAGAGACTCAATAATAATATTAAATGATACATTTTGAATGCCATCTGAAGTGGGGTTATAATGTACCATAATAGAAGTCTAATTCTGATAAGTCATAGATTCAGTGGCTTAGAAAAAGAAGATGTTTATGAATATTACCAACATCCACACGGTAATCCATTTTCACTTAAAAAAATGATTTTTCATATAACTCAAATGTGTTCCTCAACTGACTGACTTTAGAAGTCAGGTGAGTCAATGGATGAAGATAAAGAGCTTGATGATGATGACAGAAGTGTAGTTAAGCTTGAAACCTTTTGTCCATACTATACCTTTTCATCCAAGGCCTTGTGGTGCTCAAACAAAGATTTCAGTGCCTTGAGAACTTCAACTTCACTGGATACTCCTGAGGGAGACTGGGCTTGCCGTTTTACCACCGTCATTCTTAGTGACCTTTCATGTCGTGACACAAGGCACTCCAAATGCTCCAGTAATAGCTATTGGGTTTAACAGAAAATGCAATTATCTTCTGAATACAAGTCAGGAACACTTTCAAATGACTTCCCCCTTAAAACACTGCAGGCTTACATAGTATCTAATGTTAGTTGCAGGTTACACTGCAAGTGGCAACAAAGAAGCACAGACCTGTTTAAAACAGGGTTTATAAAATACATTAAAGATAAATTGTATCATTTAACAAGTTACTGAATTTAAAAATGTAATGCAAATGTTATGCAGTCCTTTAGCAAATTTAATACTTTCAGTATGGATTCAGCAGAAATAGAACACTTGACAAAATATGTATGTTAGTGATGAAAGAACATTGCTTGATGCATCAGGACCTTTTTAGAGGATGACAGTGAAAGTCAAAATTTATTTCGTTTACATATGGCCATTAAAATTATTTGAGTTGAATAAAATGAGCATAATCATTATAATGTTAATTTAGCTTAAATAATCCCATGGTTTTATTCACAATTATTCTTTAGATTAGATTATAGAAAAATATTTGCAACCAATTAGAATATAGTAACTGAGATTCTCAATTGTCAGTTCAGGAAAGGAAGTTAGGGAAATAGTTTTGAATTGTCTATGTTAGAATCTATGATTTCCCAGGGTAGCCTCTGGGGCCGTGACAGAGGTGGAGGGAAAGTCCCTGAAGAGTTTCCAGGATGTTTCAGGCTCTACACTCTTAGCTCTTGCCAGAGAAGATCTGTTTTGAAATGTTTTGTGAATTGGGGTTTCATATTTGTTTTCATTTCAAAAGGAAGTTCTACTGCTAAAACCAAAGACACATGAGAAGAAAATCAGAAACTGCTTGATTATTATCAGTTATTATAATTTTACTAGTGAATAACCACACACAACTGGTAAGCATTACAGGAAAGGTCTTCGGAAGAACAGTGGAAAGCACAAGCTAACAAGTGGTATCCACTTATGCAAAATAAAAAAAATACAGCAGAAATTACTCAAACAAAAGATTTAAAAACAGATAGAAGACACTGAAGGTGGAAAGAAGGAAAGAAAACAACTTTCCTTTTTTCCAAGATATTTTCTAAAAGTTTAATTGTAAAGAAAAATTTTGGTCTTCACTATACCACTGTTAGATTCAGTGTCACGTATTAGTATCATATTTTTTTGGTTGATTTCTCTACATTTGCTGTCACTGATTATGACTCAAAATGTTAGAAAACTTTGCCATTATTGGGCACAAAGAACACCAATATCTGAGACACTAAACATACATAAATCAGTAGATAAGAGTCATATTTAAGGGTCAACATAATATTAGTAGTTTTTCAGTATGAAAATGACCTGAAATTTTCAAGGAGCCCTTTAACATTTATCAATCTCTCATTGATAAATTATGGTATTCTATTCTCTCGAATTCTACAGATACATGTATCCATTGCATAAATCCAAACTGCTTTACACAGGTTGTGGAGATTTACATGAACTTAATAATGCCTACTTTTCCAGTGTCATCTGATGTTAATCTTTCCCTGGCAAACTATGTTCCAGCTTTCCTGGCCTACTTTTAGCTCCTCAGTATGTCAAGCCTTTGCTTATGCTGTACCCTCTGCCTAAAGTACTCCTTCTTTGTTCCTCATTTAACCAGCTCTTTCCCATTGTTTGTCTCAGCTTAAACATCATCTCTCAACCAGGCATTTGCTCACTACTGTCTAAGGTAGTTTCTCCTTTTCCCCACCTCCACAAGTCTCTATTTCAATCCCTTACTAATTTTTTTTCAGACTATTTCATGATGTGCAATTTAAAGAAATTGCTCTACTAAATTTCATTCTATTTTCCCATTGCAATAAAAGCTCCAAGAGAGTTGGCACAGTGTCTGCCTTAATCCTCTTGATTCTCTCTGAATTTGAGTGTTAGCTCAATTCACAACATCTATAGGTATGCAATTAATATTTGCTGAGCGGATTAAAATATTAATAAATGAGTTAAATTTACATACATCATATAGTTTCATATATTTCATACAGGTTTGGCCTATATGAAAGCTAAGCTTGTGGCCATGGTTAATGGGCATTATTTCCCAAGAGCTTAGGCTAATTAACATTATTATGTACATCTATCCTTCAATCTGATGACATAAATAATGAAACCTTTATAATACAATGAAAACTGCTTTTTTCTAATTGTAAATTAGAGGCATCTTGTTTAATACAGTAATTCATTAAACATATCATCATCTAATTTTGTATCTAATTTTTCAGTACAGTGTAAGATTTAGAAATATAAAATACTCACCCTCTAGGAAAAGAAACACAATAATGATGCTATAAAGGACATCCGTTTTCAGAGACAACTTAAATCTTTTAATCACACTCTTCACATTTGGCAAATGGAACTTTTAACTGCTTCTCCCTACCCTCATGCCCTCATTGTCTCTTTACCCAGCTTAAAGTTAACAATTCAGTATTTGTAAGCACTCTCTTTCATGCTCCCTCAATTTCTAGAATCTGATCACTTGCCACTACATCCACTGCTAACATTTGTGTCCAAGACCTACAATCTCCCCCTGAATTATAATGGCTCCTTAACTGGTCCTCCTGCTTTCAGCCTTTCATCTTCCGGCTATTCTCAAAACACTGTTTAAGCTAAAATGTGAGTTAGGTCATTTATACTTCTGCTCAAATATTTAATGTCTTCTTATTGGGCTCAAGTGAAAGCCAAAGTCCTTATACGTCCCAAAGGGATCTCAATTTTCTGAACTCATCTCCTATTTTTCTTCTTGCTCATTCCAGTATAGCTATGTTGGCTGCCTTGCAGTTTTTTGTTTGTTTAGTTTTGTTCATTTTGTTTTTAACATGTTAAACATCCATGTCCCCACAACAGGGTCTTTGTTCTTCTTATTTTCTCTAACTAAAACATTCTCTTTCAGATATCTGTATGACTATCTCATTTCACCATCTCTTTTAGGTTTTAACTCAAATGCCACTTTTCAACGAGACTTTCCCTGGTTACCAACAACATTGGATATCTCCTTCCTAGCTTTGTTTGTTCTTCTTAGCATTTGTCCCTATCTAATGTCATATTTATTTATGTATTTTTCTTGCTTACTATCTGTCTTTCAAAACTTAATGTAGGCCGGGCGCGGTGGCTCAAGCCTGTAATCCCAGCACTTTGGGAGGCCGAGACGGGCGGATCACGAGGTCAGGAGATCGAGACCATGCTGGCTAACCCAGTGAAACCCCGTCTCTACTAAAATATACAAAAAACTAGCCTGGCGAGGTGGCGGGCACCTGTAGTCCCATCTACTCGGGAGGCTGAGGCAGGAGAATGGTGTAAACCCGGGAGGTGGAGCTTGCAGTGAGCTGAGATCCGGCCACTGCACTCCAGCCTGGGCAACAGAGCGAGACTCCGTCTCAAAAAAACAAAACAAAACAAAACAAAACAAAAAACAAAAAAAACTTAATGTAAGGTCAATAAGGAAATACATTTTTTTTTTTAATCTATTTTGTTCATGCTGTATCTTTAGTGCCTAGAAGATTGGCACATGGTAGATGCTCATGTATATTTACGGAATGAATGAATAAGTACTGATTAAAGCAATAGTTTGTATCTTTATTGGCAAAATTCTTCAGAGAAATGGATATCTGGGATGTTTGACAGAACTAATAGATGAGCATCAAAAGAAGGAAGATTGTCTTCTATGGTACATGGAGGTGAGATAGTTATATAAACACCTGAGCTTTCTGAAAATGGGGTGTCTGTGTAAGTAAGACTTCGATGGATTGAGTCATAGCTACAATAGACCATTTGAAAGGCATGAGGAATATAAGGACAATGAAGTGAGCAGAATGCTTTGAACTGCACTGAAGGGTTTAAAGAAAGCAAATGACAAGTTTAAGGTTTTAAATTCTAGGTCAAGGCTCAGTTAGAGAACCCAAGAGGTGCTATGGCTGCTCATGATAGCCTCTTATCAAGATCCCAAAACATAACAGAAAGAAAATAAAAAGTCTAATCTAAGGAAGGTCACTGAATTACAATACATGATAATTTCACAGCCTTACCAGGAATCTTATGTAGAAATCTTGCCACACTCCAAGAAAAAAAGCAGGCACCCCAAGAACTATAAAATGGACATTTGGAAAGATTCAGATGTGTCTGAGTTACCCTGATACTCTCATCGCAATAAGTCTTCCTGATTCTGTGATGAATCCAGTTCTATTTGTCTTAATGGCCACATAATGACTTCACTTAAAGCGGTTATCTTATAAGAAGAAGCCTCTGCTCATCATGTTCCACCACAAACACCTCTTTCTGCCTCCAGACTTCTAAAATATGAAGAGGTAAATAACAAGGTCTAACCTAAAAAGAGAAGGATTTCAAATCAATAGACCTGTATGCTTTTGCTAATTTGTAGTTTCAGAAATCTGGAAATATATGTAGATGCTAATATTACTGAAACAGAAAGAGGGGGACAACATTTTTTGATCTGGTTAAATTAATCAATATGATGATGTTTTTTCAGATAATCTGAATTAAACTTTGATGTCAAACACCAAAAAGTGGTTTTAATTGTTTGTTCCATTGGTTAACTAAAACATAAACTCAGTGGTGGCCGAAAACAAGTGAGTAAAAGCCAGAAATTCATTGGGTAGAAGGTAGAAGGAAACTGATGATTTATAGAGTTAAAAATGGCGAATTCAGCTCACTCCCAGCTATTTCCCTTGAGATGACCAAAGTGACACTATCTTCACTAAGGCATTGGGAAATAGATTGGAAAAAAGGCAACACACGACCTACAAAACGGCCAGAACAGCAGTTCCTTACAGATAAAGAATAAAAATGGAGAGATGCTAGTCCTAAAAGGAACCCTTTGATTTCTCTGGGGATGACAGAATTCTGCAGTGGCAGAGGCTAAGTAATAGCAATTAACTACCTAAGCTAAGTTATGTGTGGTTACTATAATAGGCAGAATGGTTTGATCCATTGGGATCTTTGTGATAGCTAATTGATTATAGAGTTGTTAATA